ATCTGCTCATCACTTGAATCAACTGATTGGCTAAATAAAGTAAATGCTTTAAGCATCTTACATTGCAAACTTAATTAACTTCGCTAATGCTTTCGTGATATTTTTTTATTACTGATTTCAGCAGCTCTAAACAGAATGGTCACTCATGGGAAGAACTAATTTCTATATTTTAGTTATTAGAAGGACTTGGGAAAGCGAAAGCAACACAAGATGATGTATTCGATCAACATGCTGCAAATTTAGTAAAGCAAAGTAAAGCATGTGAGAGATTACATCGTGATTTAAAAGCGTATGGTGCAGCATTACGAGCAATGGTTCAAGCGCAGAAGACATTTCGAGAGACAATTCGAGAACTTTACGAGACAGATTGGCCGGATCGTGAACATTTATGTGCCATTACACAAGTAATTTTATACTATTACACAAGCGATTTGATCCTATAAAATCAAGCTTTACTAAAAATCACGATGTAATTATAATAAGTAAACTATTTAACGACTACTTTAAAATATTTAAGCGATATGTATCATATGAGTTAAGTTTACAAATTTCAAATTAATTTGAAGTGCAAATGGTTTAAACTATACATTTTTGTCGACATAATGTTGCTCATTTCTTCCACAATGAGCCACTTTAATACTTTTGGTAATCGATTGAGTAAACTATTAAACACAACATAATCTCAACGGCTTGCAATCTTAGTATAAAACTATCAGAAAGGTTAATGGCACATTTGGTGCCAATATTGTACGACTTGTTCAGTAGGCTAATCGATATTCGATCTTACTCATTTTCTACTGAATTATGCATAATATATAGTATTGCTATGCATTTACTAACTGTATAACTGCAGGATAACTCAGCAGAATGCTGGATTCTTGAGCAAATATTCCATTGTCTTCAAGTTAAGTTATTAATTTTTGAATGATAGATTATAAATTAAAACTAATTTGTCTTGATCACATTATAGTCACTGGATCTTCAATGGGATGAATTTGAGAAAGTTATCAATGATCGAATGATGGGTTCGGTGAATGCATATATGGCACAGTTTGCAGATTTAAAAGCTAAGGTAGCGAAACGAGGTAGGAAGCTTGTTGATTTTGATGGCGCGCGAAATAATTATGCAACAGTGAAAGCTGGTTCCAAAAAAGTTAGTTGTCCGCCTATTATATATGTATGATAATTGCTTTCTCATTTCTGCAGATTTTAAGATTAGAGTTTTCATAGGAGAAAATGGATAATCTGTTCAGATCTGTAAATGAATATACATGATAGGTAAGGAAGAATCTGTGAGGATACATCGGACAATTTAATATAATGAGATTAACTTTTTTTTTACAGTTACGATTTCTTTGTCTTTGGTTATTCAACACATCTTTGCCTCACTTTGAATGGCCTTGAACCTCTGAACTTATTCTGCTTTGACGTAGCTTAACGCTACTATAACTTATTCATGATATATAATTTAGTTTGCTACAAATAATGATCTCTTATATTATAATCCTTGTTATATAAGTCGATTGTGTACTCTTCTCATTTCCAGGGCGATGATGATCCAAAAGTGATAAAAGCACTAGCAGATCTACAACAAGCCGAAACCCTATATAGAGAATTGAATAGAGAACTTGTTGATGCATTACCCGCCACATATGATAGCCGAATAACATTTTTTGTTGATACACTTCAGACAATTTTCAATGCTGAAAGTACCAATCATACCGAATGTGGTAAGGTATGTTTGTCAAAAATAAAAGCCGTTTGGAAAATCAGCTATATATTGGCATATGTTATTTTGTAAATTCATGTGTAGTTCGTTATTTTCCAGTAGTTCATGTTCATAATAAATTTCAAAAAATCTTCTATTATACATGATAATTCTCCTAGTTGGAACATTTAAGAATTCCAATCTTAGCAAGAACATAAGGAAAAGTACAAAATAGTGCTGGGTTAGACTAGATATTTTATCTGTCGACAGTTACATAACTCTAGCTCCATTGTAATTGATGATCATATTCAGTTATGTATTATTCAAACTTATTTTATTACAGAATAATAAAATTCTTGTTACCTTACTGGATAATTTGGGAAACTCATTTGATTCTCTTCGTGTTCCGCGAAATGCATCGGATCAATCGGTAGCACCTACTGTAATCGACGAACAGTCGATTTCAACTGATGATCAAGTGCAAAAATCCGATGCGCCAATAAAAGAACCTGAGCCAACATCTCCAAATATTTCCTCTGAGGCTTTTCCCAACAAAGTTGACGTTGAACATGATGATGAAAATGCAGAAAAAAAAGTGTATCCGGTAAATTCAAAGTCTATCAATTTGATATTTTATTCATTGTTCTTTATGATTAAACGGAATTATGGCTTTCTTTATCTTTCAGTTTGCTGTGCTATATGTAATACAAGACGCTGAAGAGTTTTTATTCTGTTTATAATAGCAGTGAAACATGTGAGAAATTACCTTTAATCGAATGATAATTAGCTCATTACAGAATTGTTTTAATCATAATATGGAATAAGACATACAAGAACAGAGTGGATGTTCTACTATTGCTAGAGTTTTTTTTTTCCGAAGTTCCCTACTATTGGACAATTTTTTCCTAACTTTCATCAGTTCAATCTCAACTTAGGTCTTTTACTCTCTACAAAAGTTATTTTTTCAGAGTTTGACTGATGCACCACTTGTTGCACCTGTTGTTCCGGATACTGAGGAGCGAAATGACAAAAAGTTAGAAAAATCATCAACTGCTGGTGATGGTGTTGGTGAAAAAGATTCGAAAGCCTCGCTAAATCCGTTTGATGATGATAATGATGATACAAAAAATCCGTTCAATGAAACTGATAGCGGAAAAAAACCGCATCCAGAGCCACGTTCACCACAGAAAGGTGAAACTCGTCAGGATGCGAATGTTGATAGAAAGGTATTCTTGTTTATATCGATATATGTAATAAGATTGTTTATAAGTTGGTATTTGTGCGAAAATCGAAGAATTGCTATCTTATTATATAAGATTGAGTCATAAATTAGAGGAAGAATTATGGTCACAATATTAAATCGGCTAATGGCACTATAAGCAGAATTATAATTACTGAGTAAAATCGGACCCAGAATGAGTGGAAATTTTACGGCAGAGAAAGACTAATTTGTACAGGAAAACCTGTTTTTTGGCAGCTGGAGAGATGAGCATTAACATTTTACTAGATTAGCAAAATAAAGTTGGTATTGTATTTATGTCGTCATTTTATTTTATGGTTTTGTATCGTTACTATTGTAATATTTTGTAAAATGTTTCAGATTTTGTACAAAGTTCGTGCAACACATCGCTATACCGCAGAAGACACTGATGAACTTACATTTGACGCAGGTGAAGTAATAACAGTGCTAGAAGCTCGTGAAGAGGATCTACTGGATGATGGATGGTTGTTTGGTGTAAAGCAATCTGATGGTGTTCATGGTGTATTCCCTGCAAATTTCACGAAATCTTTATGAAAATTTTGTAAATCTCGGACGCATGAAATGTTTGGAAATTTAATGATCATTTTCTCATTCAAAATTCCGAAATCTGCAAAATCATTTGCAATATAGAGAATCGAAAAATTTACCTGCTATTCCTTTCTGTTTTTTTTATATATGATGATAGGAAGTTTTCACTGCAAAAATCATGAGATCATGAGCTAATAATTTTTCCGCTCCGAGTTTCTGAAGTTTTTGTGTTATTGCAACTAATTGCTCTGATTAATGTAACTGTTTCTTCGAATCTGAATGCTTTCTATCATTATGCTTCATAAAGCACTTCATTTCTGCACAAAGCAAATATTTTATATGTGCTTCTTCCTATCACTATTTTCTCTCTTGTCATAATCATTTGTTCACAGCTTCAAGTCTGACCATTTAAATTTTTTTTTCTATGTTATACATTGTTTTTCAGATTCGGCATGTTTGATTAATTCTGAATATCACATAGTTATTTGAAATTGCTTTTTCATCGAGCAGTTTTTAGAATTTTAAATCTTATATTTGCAATCTTATAGCACTGGTCTAAAATAATCGTATTATGTTAGAACAGTTTATACATTGCACGCTTTCTTTTTTTCTTTTTAATTTTCAATCCCTCCTACATACTTAATTTATCCTTTGAACATGTATAAGGTTGTGATAGATTTGAACCATTTTATTACTTTAGCTTTATTATTAGTATAGTGTGCCTTTATTTCCTTCACTTTTATTCCCTCTAAAGAAATCAAAACTTTTCTTATAAATATTATGCTTCAAATTGCCTTTTGACAATAAAAATGGTTCTGTCGGCATATGCAATATATAATTTTACTGCAAAATTATGATTACACAACGGTAATAAAGGAAGTTGTGATATATTATATCAGAAAGACGAGTCATTGAATATGTTGGATTACAGCTTCATGAATAAAACGACGATGAGCAATGTCCCATCTCAATGGCCTCATGTTTTTCTCGACCAATTAGGCACGAGATTAATTTTTAAGAAGTAATTTACTACACCAATGACAGATTGCAAATTGCTAATAGTTGAAAACTAACAATTGCATACAATGTTCAATGTGATTATTTTTATCACTTCAAGTAATCTAACAAAAATCATCTCTTGCAATTAAAACAAATTAATAATAATTGTAATCAAAAATGATTAATAATAATAACAAGCAACAAAAATGAATTAAATCAACGAAAGAAAATGAGAATATTATGTTGATTTTTGCATTCAACATTCAATCAACATTTTGCATCACTTAGTGATGCGATAACATCTTTTGAAAGTATTAGCAAAAAAAAAAAAAAAATGAACAACAAAAAATCTCTAATGTTATTTTTTTTCCAATTACTTTCAATTATTACAAAATTCTCATATTATCATTATTTTTATCATTCCCATTTTTATTTCATATCGACAATGACTATGTATTTTATTTCACATTTTTTATTATGTATTATAGCAATTTTTCCGAACCATCATAATAAAAGCATGTAATTTCATTTGTTATCTTAAAAATTGAAAAGAAAATGATATTCTAAATATTAGCGAAACAATGATAAATAATTAAATTCACATGTATTATATAAATGTACAAATATTGATTTATTTGGGGGTTGATCGATTGATCAATTGATTGTATATTAGTGAGAAAAGATTTGTAAAAATTACCAAATGACATATATATGTTCAAATGACTGGAACGACATCAGTTTTGAAGCGATAAATGAACAGTATGACAGAGTAAATTTTCATTATCCATTTTCATTCCTTATTTCATTTGTCTTCATTCATTCATTTCATCGTCAATTATTATCGAAATAAAACCCGGTTCCTTCATACTACAATACTGTCCCCTTCTTGTCCCCATTTTTTCCTCTCTCTCTCTCTCTTTGTCCCTCTCTGTCTCTCTCTGTCTCTCTCTGTCTCTCTCTGTCT